CTTCCCCCCCCCCCATCTTGGAGTACCGGGTAGGTTTCTAGGCAGGAGTTCTCGGGTCCAGAGGGGTAGCCCTAACACCCCCCCCTCGCCAGACCAGGTGCGAGCCGTCCTCCTAAGCCGCTCAGAAACTCGGGCTGCGGCCGTCCTAAGAAAGCCGCCTGTGTCAAGGTCTATTCTGGAAATCGGGTGCTTTGAACTTCTGGTTATGGAAGGTTCTGAGGCTCCCCCGGAGAGGTGTTTCCCAGCCCACAAACGGGAACCGCGGTCAGCCCCTCCTGTGTGCCCAGCGCTGCTCTGGTGCGCGAGCCTTGGTTACACTGCGCGGCATCCTTTCCTTCCTCTCGGGCTGCGTGTCCAGCGCCTGGAAGGGACAGTGGGTGGCACCGGGTGGCACGAGGGTGTGCCGGGAGTGGGCGCCCCGGGGCTCCCGCTGCGCTCTGAAGCCATCAGCCGGTGTGCGCGGGGCTGGGGCTGGGCTCTGGTGTCCGTGCTGCTACCAGGCGGCGCGGTCCTCCGTCTCTCCTGCGGGTTGCTCTAAAGGAAGACGGAAGGATCTGCCGCTCACGTGTCGAGAAATGGAGTTCTCCGGTTTCCCTTCCCCGCCGGACGTGAGGCGCAGCCTGTGCCTTCCTGGCGTCTCGCCGGTTTGGGTTTCCGGTTCCCAGTCACATTGCCGAGCCGGGCAGTGCCGCGTCTGGAGCGCGGCTGGCGGCCTCGTCCTCACCCGTCGGCGGCACAAGGCAGGGCCCTTTGAGGGCGTCCTGGCTGGAGCGCGGGGAGGAGATCGGTCATTTTGAAACCTTTGTTTTTGTTTTCTTTCACCCAGCAGAAAGATGGCACCTTTACCGCTGGGGGGTACATGCCCCCTCTGCGGTTTAAAGCGCTCACCCTCTCTGTCGTCTTTGGAACCATGGTCGGTGGAATCATGATCCCAAACGGTGAGTGTGGCGGGGAGGCCGCTCCGGGGCCCGATCTCCTGCCGGCCCTCTGCCTGTCCCCCGTCCTCCTGCGTCCCTGTGTTACGCGTAGGGACCCCGGAGCCGTCCCTGCCTGGAGTCTCTTTCAACCAGGACACATCCCAGAGTCTCATGCCACCCTCCCTGGTGTCCTAGAACAGTCTAGACACCCTCAGTGAATCTTTGGCACCCCAAGAAAAGTGTGGGATGAACGTCTCGGCGTCAGGGAACCACTAGCACTTGAGCCCTGGGTGGAGACGGAGGTGCGGGGACGCGGGCCCGGTTTGTGAAAACGAGGGGCTGCGGCAGCTCCTGTGCTCTTGACTCCCGGTTTTGATGACACATCACCGAGGGAGGACCCGAGCAGGGTCTGAGCTCTCAAACGCGTTCTCCCGGACACGCAGAGCTTCCTGCCATCGGATACCCGGCGGGGACTGCATGCGCTCCCCCCAGGTAACCGACCAGGCGTCCGCACTCCATGCGTCCTGGCTTCCACACGTCCGAGGACCCGTCCTGCTCCATCTCTCGCCGAGCGAGGCGGAGGGGGTGGTGATTTAAGATGAGCCATCCGAGAAGCCCCTGCTGGACAACCACGTGCTCTGGGAGGAACCAGGGCGGTGCTCTCAGGGCTCGCTTTGGGCCGGACCCTATCGAGAGATGCCCGCTCCTGCCTCGCCAAGGCCCACACGGTCGAGGGAGGGAGCCGCGTTGGCCCCATTTCACTGGCCAGGAACTGAGGTGCAGGCAGCATGGAGCTAGGCTGAGACTCCACTGCCGGGAAGGCGTGGCCTCTTGGCCTCTGGTTCTCCTGGGGCCGCCGGCCCCACACCGTGCCCCCCTGTAGCCTCGGACGGCGTCCCCTTCACTGTGGCTGTGGGCACGGGAGGGGTGCCTCCGCTCCCACTCGTGTTCTGGAGGCGTGCGTGGAGGGGCCTCGTGGCCAGGGGCTTGCTCGCCTGGGCCTGCTGAGAGCTTTCATTCGGTCCCTTGCCGGAGCCGCTGGCCCTCACCCCTCCCTGTTGCTTCCTGTTCCCAGTGGAGACGATCCTGGGCCTCACGGGCGCCACGATGGGAAGCCTCATCTGCTTCATTTGTCCGGCTCTGATCCATAAGAAAATCCACAAGAACGCCCTTTCCTCCCAGGTGAGTGTGGCTCGGCCCCTCGGGCTGGGTCTGGGCTCGGGGCGAGGCGGGGGGTCATGCTGTCCCACGAGGGCTTCTCAGGAGGTGAGGTCCTTGGTCCGGATGGTGCAGGAGGCACAGGGCCAGGCCACACAACTGCCATGCGGACGTGGGGAGGTTCCCGGGGGCCAGGTGCGTGTGTCGCACCAGCTTCCTCAGCCGAGCGCCGAATACCGGAGTGCTTTTGTGCGACCGTGTGTCTGGACGGTGAGTGGTGCTTCCGTGAGTGCGTGTGCGCTGCACGCTTCGCACCCCTCCCCAGCTCCCCCCTTCCCCCCCCTCCCGCCGCGGCGCCCCCACTGTCTCCCTGGACCGCGTGATGGGGTGCCCTCTGCCGCGTGGAGACAACTGTGACGACTGTGTGTGTGCCCGAGTGCTGGGATAGACTTGCCTCTTGCCAACCTGGTAGGGGCTTGCTGAGTTCTTCCCCGCCGGTGTGGTTTGGTGACTGTTTCAGGAGTACCGTGTACTATGCATACAGCAGAGCCCCTAATTCTCTGCGCACAGCCTGACCCCTTGCTAAGTGAACCCAGCCACAGAGCCACCGTGGCAGGTTTAGAACATTCCAGCACGCGAAGGCTCCCTGGGGTGCCTCACAGTCTTTCCCCTCCAAAGGTTACTGCTCGTCTGTCTTCTGATCTCTTGGAAAAACTGTGCCTGTCTTCGAGTTGGGGGTAAATGGAGTCTAACAATGCGTGTTTGTGTACGTCTGGCCTCCTTACCCAAGCGTCACATCTGCGACCCGCTGTGTCGCCGCGGGGTCGGGCAGCTTGCCTCTTCTTGCTGCGTGACATCGCATGGTTCCCCCAGGGCAGACGGTGGGGCCCTCCACGAGACTCTTCTGTGATGTGCGTGCAGCACGTCGGTGATTCACTGCGGCAGGGGTAGCGGGTCCCGGGCTTACGTCCCCCCAGCTTCGGCAGCTTTTGCCAAACTTCTGCCGGTTTTCCAAAAGTGGTCTTCTGGCCCCACATTAGAATTCCAGTTGCTTTTGCATCTGCTGTCCTGGTCACAGATGCTAGTCCTTCCGAGGGCTGTGCGGTGGCACCTCGTGTGGGTTTTAATTTGCAGTTCCCATGGGGCGTTTGCGTGGCTCAGTCAGTTGAGCGACCAACTTTGGCTCAGGTCACGATCTCACAGTTTGTGAGTTCGAGCCCCGCGTCGGGCTCTGTGCTGACAGCTCGGAGCCTGGAGCCTGGAGCCTGCTTCGGATTCTGTGCCTCCCTCTCTCTCTGCCCCAACCCACTCGCATTCTGTCTCTCTCTCTCTCAAAAATAAGTAAACATCAAAAAAATTAAAAAACAAATTTGCAGTTCCCAGATGACTAGTGGTGTTGAGCCCCCTCACATGGGCATGTCCGCCGTGGGAGCTTCTGTGACTGCCTTTCACATCTTGTCCCGTTTCAGCTAGTGAGTTGTTGGTCTTTCTTTTTATAAACAGTCTTTTTTTTCTTTTTAATTTTAAAAATTTAATTTAGTTTATTTATTTTAGAGAGAAAAAGAAAGAGTGGCACAAGGGACATAGGGGGAGAGAGAGAGAGAATCCCATGAAGGGCAGAGAGAGAGGGAGAGAGAGTGCAGAGCCGGAAGCAGGGCTCGAGCTCACGAACCGTGAGATCACGACCTGAGCCGAGGTTGGATGCTTAACCGACTGAGCCACCCAGGCGTGTTGTCTTTCTCTTAATGATTTTGTGGAAGTTCTTAGAAGATTCCGGATCTAAATCTTTTTTCAGAAATACCTACTGCCGATGTTTTCGCTCTTGGCGACCTTTCCACTTCCTTCGTGATACCTTTTGACCAACAGCTGTTCTTCATTTTAGTGTACTTCAGTTTGTCACCCTTCTTTTGCTGGGTGCTTTTTATGTGCTGTTTTAGAAACGTTTGCCCACTGCAGGGTCCTACGGATAGCCTCCCGGGTTAGACTCTGGAAGCTTTTATCATTCACATTCAGATGCACACTCTGTCTGGAACGGATGGGGAGGTAGGGTGAGGGCTTCTAGCTGATTGCACCCTCTGTTTCCTCATTTTCGTTCTGTCTTCTTTGCCCACGGTTTCTCTTTAGATTTCCAGACCTTTGGGGTTCCCGGTAACCTTTTGTACTACTGTTTCCAAGCACGATCCCCTTGTGGTTGGAGAACATACGCTGAAGAACTTGAATTTCGGCGCTTTGACATTTCTGAGGCTTGTTTTGTGTCCCAGCACGTGGTCTTCTCCAGTGGATGCTCAGGGCCTGTGGGTGGTTAGACCATTTACTAACTGCGATTTTCAGATCTTACGTGGTCTTGCTCGATTTTTGACCTCGTGTATCAGTTAGGGGAAAGATAGGACAAGTCAGGCTGTAATTGTAGGTTTGTTTATTTCTCCTTTTAGGTGTATCAGTCTTTGCTCTTTATCTTGAAGCTATGTTATTAGGAGCATATTGTTTTAGGCTGGTTGTTTCTTGTTAAAACTAACCCTTTTTGGGGCGCCTGGGTGGCTCAGTCAGTTGAGCAACCAGCTTCAGCTCAGGTCATGATCTTGAGGTTCATGAGTTCGAGCCCCGCGTCGGGCTCTCTGCTGTCAGTGCAGAGCCCGCTTGGGATCCTCCGTCCCCGCCCTGTCTCTGCCCCTCCCCTGTTTGTGCTCTCAAAAATAAACAAACATTTAACATTTTTTTTTTTTTAAACCCAACTAACCCTTTTTCCTGTGAAACGTCTCTTTTTATCTTCGGGACTGCTTCTGTCCTTAAAGTTGGTCTTGTCTGATATAGCGTGACTAACTTGACTTTGCTTTGGATTAATATTTACACAGTATAGTTTTCTATCCTTTTTTGATCTCTCTATGCTTTTTATATTTGTGGTATGTCTTAGATAACAGCATGTAGTTGGCTTTTGTAGTGTTTTGTTTTTATCCAGTTTGTTAATAAGAGTATTTAAGATTAAAAAAAAAAGGGTAAGATTTTTTTTTTTTTTT